CAAACAATGCTTTTCAAAGAAGCAATTAATATTAATTATATAAATATATACGAATCTTCGAGTTTATTCATTTGTGAAAATATTCTCGAAGTGTTTATATTGCTGTAGTCTTGGATGGTGTTATGAAAATTATTCATTCTTGAAAAAAGTGCAACGAAAAGAGGTGCTCTTCTTTTATTCGTGAATAACTATAAATTCAATTTTGTCGAAAAGTTAAAAAGTGGGGAATCACGCTGGAGATGTCGTACCAAAGGTTGTAACGCTGTCGTCTAAACAATTGGAGATAATGTAGTAATTTCTAGACAAAACTTAAATCATTCTCATGAAACTCTGGAGGCCAACTGCATTCAACAACAGCTTGTAAGAGTAGCAGCTAAGCGTAAAGCTGCAGAAAATATAAGTACTCAACCCAGGAAAGTTTTACATCGTGTTTTAAGTGAAAAAGAAAACACCAATTTAACTGTTATGAATTTGAAATCATTGAAACGAAGTATTTATAATGTAAGAAGAAAATTACTCCCAGTTTTACCAAAAACGTTAGAAGAAGTACATGGAATCATTGGAAAAATTAGAGGACCTATCATCACGCCTAGAAATGAAAACTTTTAGAAAAGTGTTCTAGAATATATTTGGATGGTACATTTAAATATTGTACAAAATTCTATTCTCAAATGTTTACAATTCATGGATACCAGAATTGCCACTACATTCCACTAGTATGTTGTTTATTGCCAGATAAATTATCATCTACATATGAAACATGTTTCAATTTGATAAGGGCCAAATGTTCAGAGCTAAATTTAAATTTTCTTCACAAAGATATTGTCTTTGATTTTGAAAAATCAATCATAAGGCTGTTAAATCAGTTTGGGGCTAATATAAAATAATCGGATATAGATTCCATCTTTTGCAGGCTTGGTGACGTAAAATTAAAGAACTTGGCTTAACAAATGATTACAAAAACAGAACTGAAGTGGGAAAATGGATTGGTCATTGCTTTGATCTTCTTTTTCTAGATCACCAAGAAGTCGGTGATTGTTTAGTTTTTGATCTAATCGAAATTATGCCCGAGAGTGTCGAACTAAATGCTTTTGTTTCAACATTTCCACCGATACTCCTAATAAAACTGTAGCTCCTGAGAAATTTTTGAAAAGTAAAATAAAAAATTTTAATGAAAAAACTATTACTAGGCTGGAATATGTTAAATATACATCCCATTATTTTAGTTTTTAAGTAAGTTTATTATTTTGCTATTTATATTGTAAGTTGTAAATGAAATTCACTAATCTAAGATAATAATATTGTATAACTCAGTAAGACAACTTTTTTTTAATTATGGGACTGATCCCCGCGTTGCTCGACCCCTGGACGAAAGTGTATATGCAAAAATATTTGACTTGGACGAAAGTGTTATTTCTTAAGTTAAAAATTTAATGTAAAACTGAACTCATTACGATATTCCGGACGCAAGTGTATTTGCTCGTTCTAGCGTACACGTAACCAACATTGCAGGAAATTCCTCGAATGAATAACGGTTCTCTTGGATCTTAAACCGATCTTATACTTTTTTTATCGTCTTTGTTACTGAATATTTTCTTGACTTTATTTTTGATTAATAATTATACATTAATTCTCAGGAGGTGCTGAGCAGAAACGCAGAAAAACGCAAGAAACTGTCTGTCCAAGTACTTTCAATGGCAGAAGGTGGAGCCGGAAGAAATGCCGATAAGGAAACCAATGAGGTCGGTGATGAAAACTTGTAGCGCTTCCGTTATTAACGACGTTACTGTATTTAAGAGCAGTCACGAGATGTATCCACTAGTGCAACCCTACATTAACATTACACGAAAGGGCAACAAATGCAAACTGTGATGCCTTGATTAGATTTAAGGACTAATATTTTTTTTATCTTTCCTGAATGTGGCAGTTTTACTGTTAATAAAACAATTAACTTTATTTCGTTTGTGATTTATTTGTTAGGTGATAATTCCAATATTGAAATTAGAAAAGGCTACTAAACACTAAAAACTAAACAAATTTACTCGTCTATATATAAATGAAAATCCTAGGCGTAAAATAATCTGCCAGGGAGCAAACACTTTAATAGAAAATAGAAGCACTATAAAAACCAAAGTAACTACAGCAATGGGACGACTTAATAAATAAGAAAATGTATAAACCATAAAACATGACTTTTCGGAAGCCGTCTGTTGTAAACCAGTCATATTTCAGCCAACTGGTGCCTTGTATATCTTCCATCTATTCATAATTCCTCTGAAACCCCTGGTATCAGCTAGTAAAGGTCTAGTGCTAGTCTATGGGTAACATATGTTTTTGGAGTCACAGTTTTGCAGGAAAAGGCTGGCTTCAGGTTCCACGCTACAGTTAACAAGTCTCTATGAAACAACTCCATTATATGCAAGTGATCCTTGACTTGAGCATGTCCAGTTATGATTCTGAGCTGATTCTGCTGAGCTGATAAATATGAGAATTACCAAACTGTAAAAAAAAAACAAAATTATGAACATAGCCAGAGGCAAACTCAGAAACAGGAAAATAAAAATTATAAAACTTGAAATAAAAACGGAGATTTGGCAGACAGCTCCCAATACGTCGGCCTAAAAATGAATATGGCACACAGACGACTGCAGACTGTGGCAGTGAGCTATAAAAAGTCCATGAATATATCTACCTAAGCCAAATTCTAAAACTTAATAAAGTGAACCAAAGTACGGGAATCACTAGAAGAGCAAGACTGACATGGACAAGATTTGGAAAACTCAGTTTGATACTTACGAACCGCAAAATACCTCAATACTTAAGAAACAAAGTGTTTAACCAATTTATGCTTCCTATATCATTACATATGGATGTCAAACCTGGACCCTAACCAAGGCAAATATGAATAAACTAGCCACAACAGAAAAGGCAATGGAAAGAGCAATGTTTATAGAAAGATAGGCAGAGAAGAGGCAGAAGTGTAGTGTCGTCTACGAAACGAAAGTTTGATATCTAAACACAGTCTTGATTTACTCCTGCCTCCCAATCATCCAAAACCTTACGAATTCTGTATAGATGTTAAGTAATAAGAGAGATTGAACGCATCATTTGTATACTCTCTTCTCCTAAATGGATTCATCAGACAGCTATCCATTCATTCAAATATATGCTAGCTTATCTTGATATAGTCGGCTAATGAAGTGAGTCAAGTGTTCAGGTACACCCATTGGCGTGAGTATAATCCAAAGTTAGTCCCATCTTAGACTATTAAAAACCTTAGTATAATCGACAAAAAATATAAATAACGGGACCTGATATTCTTTGGCTTATTTTACAATGTTTATTACATTAAGAATTTGTTCTCCCGTACCTTTGTCCTTTACAAATCTAGCTTTCTCAGGTGCTATTTGCCAACTTATGAAGTTTTCTAGATGACGTTGCAGGATATAGAGGAGTACTTTACTGGCATGAGATATTAAAGCTAGTCATCTATAATAATTATAATTATTTGTTGAACCTTTCTAAGATGCCTGTGTGCCAGATCTAATTGCACAATCGATGTAATATTCTCAGTCCACCTTCCGGAAGATATTTAAAGATATCAGCGGTAATGTAATTATATGCTGCTTTTTTATATTGCCTTTTTTATCTGTGTTGTCTGTATCTGCGAGAGAAGTGCGATATATCACTGTGGAAGAGTAGTCTAAAGAAATGGAGGCATGACATCCAGGTTTACACGGAGTGTCCGTGGAAATCTGATCCGTATTGGCTTATAAAAACTTACAATACGACCTCTAAACATCTATAAACTTATTGAAATCCGTTTGTACATTGCCTTTATTATATATGATAATAGTCTTATCTTTGAGAGTTTATAATTGCCAGAATATTGTCAACGCAAAAGTGAATAAGGCGGTCCTCCCTTGGATTACGCTCACATATTCCATACTTGCCCACAGCACTGCGTATTAAGTTCGTCAGCTACAGTAACTTAAATTTGTGAGTTCAGATTGCCCACGATGATACCGAGTTCTTATTTGAGATATTAAGCGAATCATAAGGAAATAATGCGATCATTGACAGCTGGATAGCCCAGTACACAAGGAGAAAAGATTTTGAAATCCAGAAGATAAACACCATTGATACTGCTATTACTGTTGCTGTTCGTTCTAGTGCTTTCTCCAGAATAGTTTGTCTGGTTGTAAAAGACCACGAACATTCTATGTAACTAATTTGTGTGGTTTGAGGATATTAAGACATACTCCTGTGTCTATAAGCTGTATGGGCTTAGTCTATCAGTAGGGTGCTTACATAGCTATAATCATCTGGCAGTAATAAGCAAAATGGTGAGAGGTCCGTGTGATCAAAATAGCAACAGATAAATCACCAATCGGCAGAAGAAGTATCGGACGATTGGGGATAAGATGGGGTAACAACCGTCATAAAGGTATCAGTCAGTCTATGAACAAGCAGAATTGCCTATAAAGAGGAAGAAGAAAAACAATAAGAGGAGGATATCAAGTTCTTCTGTTTTTTACCATCTAGCACATGTCGCATGTAGACCCTAATGAATCACGCCTATATCACCTATTCTAACTAAAACAATTTTTTTGAGTAGTAAAATGATATTTCCCTCAATATTATAATAATAAAATTAGAAATTGTTTCAGTCAATATAATAAAATAATCAAGCTGTTTTTAAAATAATTACTAATAATCAATTATTTGTTGATTGAATTGTTGTTGAATTATGTATATTTCGAAATATTAGGTGTATTAGAACTATTGTAGCCCTATGACGTCATATTTTTATTATTGCTTTTTGCACTATCGTTTTCTGTGCAACAAGGTTAGTAGAAATCTATTTTAGTAAAACAAAGTTTGTATAATATCTAAAAACTATATTTTAATTTATACAAATACAATATTAAGTTATTGTAAGAAATATTTTTAAGATAAAGGAGGTCTTCAATTGACTTAATAATCTTCTTAAGTCAGGCTTAATTAAAGGGTTTTCCTGTTATAGATTTATTTTCTGAACAATATTGTATGAAATGTGACCAATTTGCGTCCGTTTTCAAAACAGTAGCGTTGCCAATTACGATTAAAAGAGCCTTCGCTCTTGTTAACGCTACGTTAAGTCGCTGAAAAAGAAAGAATACAATATAGAGACTTAAAGAATATATAATAAGAAATGAAATTAAAGTAAAAAAAAAATGTTTTTGTCATATTAAACTCACTGAAACGCATATTGGTATAAAAAGGTTGTAGTGAGAGAAGGTATTAAACTCATTGAAAAGCATATAGATATAATATGGTTGCAGTGGGAGAAGATAATATTGCAATTAAATTAATCAATTGACAATATTTTGCTTCTTAAATTGATGTCTGTACATTTTTTGATCATCATTAGCTAGTATTTAAACATAGGCTTCGTTCAAAATTTGTTATACTCTTCTATTCTGAGCTACTTGACAAAATATGTTCTTACGCTCTTTTCAAATCTGTCCAACGTGTTGGTAATTTTCTTCTACTTATTTTATTAGTTCTTGGTTTGGTTTGATTATGTCGCATATTGGCAATATTCCTATGTGCGTACATAGGCCCGCCGAGAGGTTGGTACAGCGGGTACATTTTACCGGGGCCCGGCGTCGATCAAACCAAAGACTTAAATTTTCCCGTTTTTCTTTCCTCTTCACTTTATTTGCATATTGCATTTAACTAATAACCGACTATATTTAATATGACCTTTACCACTATTTTAAAATATATTTTATTGTTTTAATGCTGTTGCGACATCGTTCGTTTTTGTAAATCGTTACTGTAATCGTTTTGTAAAAATGTAAATCGTTACTGTAGTATGGAGACATAGCCTAAAATATTTTTTGTTTTCCATGTCGTCTATTTACAAATATTCTCCTTTCACAAAGATCTGCATTATGTACAACTGTTGTTTGGGGACAAAAAATTGTTGGTTATAGAAAGTTATGTAGTAGAATTACAGAGCACGAAAGTAGTGAAAACCATAAAAGTTACTATTTAAAATGTAGTATTTCTCTATATGCAGTGAGTTCCACGCGTTGGTCTACTGGGGTTCAAAACATTATACAAGAAGATTAAATACAACAAATGAAATTCATTCGTTATTTAAGATTGTATGGACATTCCGAGATGAAGATGATGACAGTATTAAGAAAACAAGTGGTACAGTAGACGGTACTGTAGACTAGCCCGAGGCTTCGTACTACGTTTTCTGTAATATGTTTAAAATTAAATAAAGTACTTTTATTATTTTTTTTTTTAAATTAATTGTGCGGTATTTTTAATGTCTGATGTCCGATCTGCCCAAAACTACGTTATATAAAATACAGTTTTGACGTTTACTTGCTGTCCTTCAAACAATGTACCTATGCTTATAAAATACATCTTCTTATATTTACTGCACATAAATTGTTCTTTAATTAATCCAACATTTTACAAATATTGGATTAATTCCGCATCGTTTATCTAACATTTGTTATATGAATAATTATGAAACAGTTTTTAATTTAAACCTGCTTAGTGCAAATATATGATGACTAGAAACGAATTGATCGGGAGTATTGAACCGATGTCAAGAACCGTTATTCTATTACGCTACCCATGACTACGCCATCTTGTGGTGCTAGTTTCGTGACGCTTGCCTCAGCATTTCGTTTTAGATAAAAAAGTATTACGAGTACAACGCCAGTACAGAAGTTTTGCTTCAAAAAATGATATATTGCGCGAGTTTTATAAAAAAGAGATCAGTGAAGAATTGATAGATCAAATTTTTCATTTGAAAGCAATATACGAGGGTTATATTTTTGAATATCAACATTCTCCTATAGGTTTACTTAACAAAATTTAACTCCTTAAATTGGACTCATTATTTCCTAAATTCGTTATTGCGTAAGAATATTTTCTACATTACCGGTGACAGTCGTAAAATCGGAAAGATCAGTTAGTTGTCTTTCTCGCATAAAAAATGCTATGAGATCTACAATGAATCAGGATCGGTTAACTGGCCTAGAAACTTCGTGCATTGAGCATGATTTAATGAAATTATGTAATTTTTCGAAAATTATAGACAACCTTACAATCAAAAATCTCAATATAAAATATTAATATAAATGTAATATAAATGTTTTTACTATTATAAATGTAATTAAAATTTAATAAATTTTATATTTGAACTGTTAATTATTATTTATTATTGATAATTTTATTTCTATAAAAATTGTACAATTTTTTTTCTCCTTACTTTTCGCAAAGGGTTAGTTCTTAACTTTTTACCGGGGTCCGCTCATCCCTCTTGGCGGCCCTCAATATACATCCCCGTTTTTTAATTCTATTCCGATTCCATTCTATCCGAGGAAAGATCCGAATGATCTTACAATTTTTCTTCGAGCGAGTCTATATCTGTTTGCTAATGTTTCAGTGAGTTTTAAAGACTTTAGAATCCGTACCTTTTTACAATTTTGTTACCTTATTTTTCATAAATATATTTTAAATACGAAAGATATCTTAATATAAAAAATAAAAAAGTACCTTTGAATTTGATAAAAAACCTATATTACACATTTTGTCAATTTCTTCAAATTTACTCGTATTTTTCGATCTTACTGTAGATATTATGATAATTAGTTTCTCTTTTCTCTGAAACTGTTCCACAGATCCAATTAGCAAATTATTCCATTTCTTTCGTGCACAAGCCTGTTTTAGCTTCTCAACCTGTAAACATATCAACTATAATAAGTAGAGTTGGTATTAAAAAATGGCTTAAAAAACATAACGATTTTACGAAAAAATCATTTTATTATACAAAAAAAAGCATGAATATAGGCATATAAATTTTGACAAACCATTTTGAGAATGAGAGAGAAAGATGCATGTAAATGAGCAATTTAAGAATTTATTTTCATAAACAGCTTCAGACATCTATCGCGAATTTTGCCGCTATAGAAGACACAAAGTGTGAGAATAAGAAATAATCAATTAAAATTATACCATTAAAAAAAATAAGAAAATTTTGTAATTGAAAATGGTACTCACACTGTATATGATATGGCTAAAAGTCAAAGATATTAAATTATTTAAAAATGATACTACACTAGAAAATCATTTCATCAATCAAATTTAACATCTTTGACTTCTAGCCATATCATATACAGTGTGATTACTATTTTCAAATACTAAATTTTCTTAGTTTTTTAATATATATATATATATATATATATATATATATATATATATATATATATATTAAAAATATATATATATATATATATATATATATATATATATATTTATATATATAATATATATATATATATATATAAATAAATATATATATATATATACATATATATATATATATATATATATATATATATATATATATATTATATATATATATATATATATATTATATATATATATATATATAGGGTCATATGTTCAACAATGAACCACACGTACACAATGAACCAATCAATCTTTCGTTAATAATACGCATTTTAGAAAAACGCCGGCACCACTGTACGAATGTACTAGATAACCTAGAACTAAATCTCAGTTATTGTTTTGCCACCACGAAATGTGCACGTGTTATAACGGATTATAAAAATTTGAAGGCATCGAGTAAAATTTTCAAGGTAAGCATTTTCGGTTTTATTTCTTACATGGGTGAATTATTTTAATTTATTCTCTGTGGTACGATACATTGATACATTAGTTAGTGTTTTGGTATATAACTCTAAAATACACTGTTGTAGATAATGACTTATTGGTCTTTGATTGTTATAAGGTGCGGTACGTACACAATGAATCAAACTATGTTGGGACACAATGAATCATGGTTCACTGTGTACCCTTCCAAGTTTTTAGATTTATTTTTATTTTCAGGATGGGTCGCGTTAAGAAAATAGAAAGAAAGAAAGGCGCACATACTGTTGATCAAATGAGGACAGCATTGGACTTAGTAACCAGGGGTATGAGTATTCGAAAAGCAGCAGTAGAAAGTAATTTAGCATATCCTACATTAAGGCGATACGTTGAAAAAAGAAAGTGTGCTCCAAACGAAAACATAAGATTTGTTCCTAACTACGAGACGAACATGATTTTCACAAGTGAACAAGAAGATGCTCTTAAGACCTACTTGAAAACTTGTGCACTTATGTTTTATGGATTGACATCTGTCGAATGTAGAAAGGTTGCATATCAAATGGCTCAAAGGAATAATATCAAAATTCCTGATTCATGGAGGAATGCAGAAATGGCTGGCAGGGAATGGCTCCGAAGTTTTAGGAACAGGCATACAGATCTGTCTCTGAGAAAACCAGAGCCGTGCAGCCTGGCACGTGCGACAGCATTTAACAGAGATAATGTTAATCGCTTTTTTGACAACTTATATGCTGTAATAAATCGAAATGCCGCATTTTCTGACGGTACAAGAATTTACAACTTGGATGAAACTGCAACCACAACGGTGCAAAAAACTCAGAAAATATTGGCACCAAAAGGGAAAAAGTGTTTGGGTAAAGTCACCAGCGGTGAGAAAGGGACACTAGTAACAACGTGCTGTTTTATATGTGCCGGTGGTTATGCTTTACCACCAGCAATAATTTTTCCGCGGAAAAATTATAAGGATTTCATGTTAAAAGGCGCCCCCACTGGCTCTTTAGGCCTTGCTACGCCGACAGGATGGATGAATTCGGAGTTGTTTGTAGAGGTAATGAAACATTTCATTAAACATAGCAGAAGCTCTCATGATAATCCATCAATTTTAATATTCGATAATCATGAATCTCACTTATCAATCGAAGCCTTAGATTTGGCAAAAGCTGCAGGGGTTAATATTGTAACTTTGCATCCCCACACATCGGCTAAATTACAGCCACTTGACGTTGGTTTATATGCGCCGTTCAAGACGTATTATAACAGTGCCATAGAGTCGTGGCTTCTAAGAAATCCTGGTAGGCCGATATCTATTTATGATTTAGCTGAATGTATTGGAATAGCACACAGTCGTTCCATGACTCCTACAAATATAGCCAATGCCTTTAAAAAATGCGGTATATATCCCTTTGATCGGGATATCTTTACAGATGAGGATTTTTTGCCAAGTGAGGTAACAAACAGACCATGCCCAAATGATGAAAGTTCTAATAATACAAGAGACCTTCAAGGAGGTGAACATAACGATGAAATCACTGTGCCAAATGAAAATGACAGTTCTTCAACTAATAACATTCAATCAGAAAACCCCAAACATACGGAAAGTCAAGCAGGACCATCATTTATTCCACCACAACAATTTATGCCTGCATTGAAAGCCCAACCTCGTCAAAATAATAGGAAGAACAGAAAAAGTAAAAAAAGTATTATTGCCACAGATACACCGGAAAAAAACATTATTGAACAAGAAAGGTTGGAAGCTAAAAGAAAGAAGCAAATGAATGAAAATAGGCAAGCTAAGAAGAGAGTGCGTTTTGTTAATGACGATAATACAGATTCAGAGGAGGATGAAATAGATATCCTTGAGAGTGACAGTGACAGTGATAGTGGAGAGTATGAACAAGATCTTCCAGTTTTAAATCCAAATTTGTTTAGTACCCAAGGTTTTAACCCTAACGTAGAAGATTATGTCCTGGTAGAATTTCATCCACCAAGGTCAATAGTATATTTTGTGGGGAAGATATTACAGATAGAACAAGATGGGGAATATCGCATATCATTTTTAAGACTTAAGGATAAATATAGTGAGCAGTTTGTTATGCCCAATGTTCCTGATATAGCTTCCGTCAACAAGAAAGATGTGAAATATATTTTGCCGAGACCAAAACTATGTGGCAGCACAAAACGACAATAATCTATTTTGCGTTTACAGTGTCTTTTTCTTTATTAAATATCAGATAGAAATTATACCTATCTTCAATTTTATTGTCCTTTTCACCTATTATTTTGCTTTTATATAATAAAACTTTGAAATCTTACTGTTGTTTCTGTAGACCTAATTTTTATTAGGTATGTTTAAAATAAAGCAGTTTGGTTCACTGCGTACGCAGCACTAGTTCATTGTGTACCACCCGTGGGACACAATGAACCAACGGCACTTAAAGGAAAAAAACAATAATAACTCAAAAACATTAATTTTTATTGCTAACCAAATTATGTGTAATATATTACTAAATATGTGTTACTTATACTGGTACAATTTCGTGCTTCTAGGTTAAAAGGGAACTGATATAGACAATTTTAAATTTTGAGTGGTTCATTGTTGAACACAGGATCCTAGATATTATATATATATATATATATATATTATAATATATATATAATATATATATATATATATATATATATATATATATATATATATATATATATAATAACTTTTTATAAAGATAATAATCCAAAAATATTACCTGTTTTCTATATGGAGCAATAACACCAATTTGATCTTCTTTAATCGTCATTCCCCTTACTTTATTTGACATTAGTTTTGAAATATATTCCGCAGTCTGTTCAATTTCTTGGACATTATAGAAACTAAAAATAAATTGAAGGCGCTTATTAAAAATTCAGTTTCCTAATTTCCCAGTTGCTCCAAGGTTTTTGAAAGGTAATTAATATCTACAAACTCTTTAAGTTTATCACTGACCGGCAAAAAAGTGGCGACCCTATAAATTTCCGAAAATAAAAAGTTTTATGTACTGTTACTTTTATGTAAGCTTGTTTTTGACAGCTTTTACGTTTACGTTGTTATTTTCTGTAGTCGCTCTTTATCTTTTAAGTTGAAAACATTTAACTAAACAGCAATTTAGCTTTTCAAACGTGGATTTCGATTAAATGAATAATTAAGATATCGTGTTATCTACAGCAGATATTGTTCGAATTATTGCATTTCTACAAGACGGAAGAAGTCAAGTTTATGTGTCCGAAACTTAGGTATTAGGGGAACTACAGAACGGAGAGCTTTCCATCGCTTTATAGAGACTGGTACATACGCATGTCGACTTGGTTCCGGTCGTAGAAGAGTTCCCTCGCAAAAAGATGATCGTTTTATTGTGATGGAACTTAAAAGAAATCGTCATTCGACTGCTATTTCTGCAAGAAACCGTCTGTTTTAAATAAGAATGTAAGTGAGAGAACAATTAGAAGACGCCACAATGAAAGAGGACTAGTGGCAAGAAGACCAGCTATTGTTCCCGAATTACAACCCAGATACTGTAGGAATCGATTAATTTTTGCTCGAACACATCAACACTGGGATATACAGGATTTGAGTCGAATTCTCTTTACTGATAAATTGCAGTTCTGTTTGAAGTCTGTCGATGGCCAAGAGAGGGTTTGGAGACAAGAAATCAAAGATATGCCACGCTTGTATGTCCCAGAGAAGAAAGTTTGGCGGTGGTGGTGTCATGGTTTGAGCTGGAACCTCATATTAAGTTCGAACTGAACTCATTAATGTCCCCCTGAATGCTCATCGATATATAGAGGATGTTTGCACAGAAGCAGTAGTTTCATTTGGTCCATGTATTGGGGACAATTTTGTCTTTATGCATACACGGCCGCATACTGCACGAATCCTGACAAATTACCTGGGGGAAGTAGGAATTAATACTCTAGAATGACCATCCTGCAGCCCTGATCTGAATATCATCAAACATATTTGCAATAAACTTTATCGTATGGTTTAAAGTTAACCAGGCCAGCCAGAAAGTCTTGCAGAGCTTTAAAACATGCTTCGTGAAAAATATTAGTGTATTTCTCAAGTTTTTATTGAAAATTAATCCCTTTCTCTTCCAAATCGTATGCTAACGGATATTGATGTTTTAGGGCATCATATCCGATATTAAACAATTTTGCCCTCGTAATTTTTATTGTTTGTAATTCGTTTTGATATCACACTATTTTCTTTTGTAGCCTTCTAATTCAATACTGGCCATTTTTGTTTTAAAAATGAAAGATGTTGAGTATACAATGTGAAACAGTGCATAAAACTTCCAATAAGTCTTTATTTTCGGAAATTTATAGGGTGGCCACTTTTTTGCCGGTCAATGTACAAAAAAATTGTATTGAATAAAACACTTTAAATTATACATAAAGAAATATTGTATTTCGCGTAGTCTCCTCCAACTATTTTTTAAACAAGATAACTTCAATTAATTTAACATTTTTTAGGTAACTGGACTAATATGCCTGTTCAAAATTTGTATGATATTCTACTGATATAATAAAAAAATGGCAGATAGCATTATTTTGTATACTTAATTTTTAATGGGATCGTATTATTTAAAAGTTCTTTGCTTTGTCTTCTAAAGACTCTGTTGCGCTGTTTTAAAATAGGGATTTTTTTTTTGCACTTTTAAATATTATTCTCCATCCATACTTAGTCATTTGTTTTATGCATGGTTTTTGTCTGTATATTATTTCGCAGTAAAATTCGTTTCCAATTCTCTTGAGTATGTCTCCGAATATTTTCATTTAAACATTATGGCGTATGCAGACAGAGATATTTGAATATTCTTCCCTAGTAACACACGACGTCCTATGGACGTCCAATATACGTCCAGTTTTGGTCCGGACGTCCCTGGACGTAAAATGGACGTACTATGGACGTACGAAGTGGGACGTACTTTGGGTGGACTAAATATGGACGTTCTCTGGACGTCCGTACTCGACGTTCCATGGACGTCCATACTCGGACGTCCTGGACGTCCAACTCGACGTCCCTGGACGTCCGAACTCGACGTTTTCTGGACATCTGACATTACCAATTATTTTTAATAAAATAAAAAATTATTTACGTTAATAAAATAATTAAAAGCGAAAAGCTTAAATCATGATTGAATTAAAAATTGTATAGTTTAATATATCCAAAACATGTTTTTTTTAAGGTAAAGTGTAAAAATATTTTATTTCTAGATAATTCGTTACAATTGTTTTATTATTCTAGTTATCACGATGATATATGTTTGCTAATTCTAATAAGTATAAATATGATTTTTATCAACAAGATGAATCTTGAAATCATTTTTCAAAGATGAACAAGTGGTCAGTAGTATATACTCTGGCTGAACAAAATAATGATGATAATGTCATTGTCTGTCATATCGTACCTATTTAAACAAATGGCACAGTTTAATTATATTTATATTATTAATGCTTTAATAAATGAAATAAAAGAATTCTATTTAAGCAGTATACAGTGCATTGGTTTTTTGATGCTTGGCTTTGTGTTGTGTTATAGTATATTGTTAAAGGTTTGGTACCACGTGTTAGGTTATACTTCAGAAATTGGTTTTATTTTATTACATAAAGGTAAGTGTATTTTTACTTATTATGTTTAAAAGAAACGATTTGTTTCTACTAAGCGTCATCGACAGAGAAAGGTTACGAAAAACGTAGAGAATATTGTTGAAAATATTAATAACCCGATATTCCATCTCCTTCAAACTTTTATTCGGAATCCCTGACTGATCATTCAGTTCAAATAGTTCAGGTTACAATACTTCCGATTTAAACTTTTTATTAACATGTTAAGTACCTAAAATAATGCAAATTACCACGTGGACGACCATTCCGGTGATCATTTACAAAGCTCTTCTTTCAATGAAACTGAAGAAATGTCTATACATGGTTTTAACGAGAATTCTGGAGAACCTTATCGAGATGTTTTTAATTTTTCTAATAAGTTATTCAACTGGACTTTGTGCCTTTAATACTAGGTGATTTATTCTTCTTCTTATGGTGCCCTATCCAATTAGTGGATGTTAACAACAATTATGGCATACTCCTCTCGATCTTGTGTGGCTCTAAAAAGTGCATGGGCATCGAGGTTTGTCCAATCCCTTATGTAGGTGATTTATTAAAAATTCATAAAAAAGTTCCTGACCTTTCTCATTTGAGTTCAAATGCTAGAACCCTTCTTGCTTCGCTTCACCCAGAGAACAAATACTCTGATCCATATGATTTAAATTTAATGGTATTTTTATCTTCACAAAAAAACAATGCTATAGAAATTTGTGTACATTTTGATGGAATCCCACTAAAAAAAGAGTTTTAGTAGTCAGTCATATCCTATCTTGTTTATATATCCTAAAATTGTAGATTTAATAGGCATTTACCATTGTTACGAGAAACCAAAATTTGCAAATGAATGTTTGATTGATTTTTGTAACAGAGGCTGTTTTTTTATTAGATAGTTTAAGCTAAAATAATTAAGCATGGATGATCAAGTTTGTGGGGTAGTTAGATTACTGTTACATGTTGATTTATATTTTAGGATAATGAGCTTTCCAAAATTGGTGAGGAGAACCATAAATGAATTTGTTAGGAGATGCCATAAGAAGTTGATCTGAATAAAATTCAAGGAAAAGATAGTTGGCTAGGGAAAAAGCAATATAAAGTTTTTGAGGACACACATATAGCTCTGATTTTAAAAGGTTTGTAACTTATAAACATAAATCAATTTAAGGTACATTTAAGAATTTACACTATCACTTAAGTGGCCACATACAGCTGATTAAGCATATTGTTAACTGTTTCTTATATGTAATTTAGATGGCAAATTTTACCAACTCATAAATGTTCAGGTTTGGCTATGAGATTGCTTTAAGAACTACAGCTAGCTTATGAGATAAAGTTTGTTGTTGGCCATATATTTTATTTATACAGTTATTTTTATTTTTTACGTATAAAAGTGTAATTACTGCTCATTTGGTCATTAGAAATAAATACCAATGGTTGGGTTGGCATTCTTCTAATTCAGGTGAGATTCATTAAAACTACAGCACTTGAAATTCGTGTGTTTAATTTTACTTTGAATTATGATTTATTCATAAGAAGCAAAGTATAATGAACTAAATCTGAAATTAGTTTGTTCAATTTATGAATGTACATTAATTTTGTTTTCAGATGTTGCTTGGAAAAACTCCAAAACCAGCGTTGCCATGGGGAAGGAAGTTGAAACTTGATAATGAAATATCTGAGAAATATTTAAAGAGAGGGCAGATAAAATTTAACTTGCATGTTGCATTAGCAAATATGATTAATTTTGTAATGATTAAATTGTGTAGTTCATGGACACAAAGGAACAGTCCAATTTTTGAGACTCTTTTATATATTTAAAATAAATACCTAAAAATTAATCTACTGTTGAAAGAAAACAGACAAAGTTCATATTCACGATACACGTAGACGATTATAGTATTGATCTTTTTCATACTTATGATTTCAACTTTAAAACTCAACAATTGACTTGTCTGCTTTTAATTGCTGACCACACAATTGTAAGGGAAATAAGAATGGGAAGGGATAAGGGAAGTTGAATGGTTCTGTTTTTAAGAACCACAATTTCAACAATTTTGTCAATTTCTTTAGCAGTATTCACAATCCTTCTTTCTCTTGTGTAGACAAGTGTAGTCAAAGATCCCATATCAGTCACAGCCATATTCACTTTTTTAACTATTAAAATTTGTGATGCATGCTTTACAGTGTCTTAATACCAATAAAGTCCTTGGTCTAGACATAATATCTTAACTTAT